AACGAGACACATCATCCCATGAAAGAATCACAACACTGTCAGCAATGCCTACGGAAAATGGAAAACAAGGCACATCAGCTCATGAAAAAATCACAGCACTCCCAGCCATGCCTACGGAAAATGGACAATGGAGCACATCTTCCCATGAAAAGATCACAACACCCCCTACAATGCCTACAGAACATGGACAATGGAACACATCTGCCCATGTGAAGATCACAAGAGGCTCAGGTAAGACTACAGAATACCCATCAAAGACCTCAGCAGCCACAGAGACAACCACAGAAGCCTCAGGAAAGCCTATAGTACACACAAAGAAGACCACATCTACCAAAAAGACCACTTCATTCCCAGCAATGCCTAGTGAAAACCCAGAAAAGACCACATTGACCACTGAGACCATAAAAGCCTCAATAAAGCCCACAGAAAACCCAGCAAGAAACACAGCAGCCACAGAGACTGTAAGATCTCCAGTCAAATTTACAGGAGACAAATCTATCACTACTTCCTCTCGTCATCTAAAAATATCTGAGGGTACGCGTCCAGTACCCGCTGGTTCTTTTACAGTTCCCACATCCAGCATGGAGCTGAGTTCCATCTTGTCAGAAGCCCCAGGCAACAAGAGCCATCCACACCAGAACAAACATGGCTCACAGGAACGTGTCAACGTTGGAGAGACGGGAGAGAGTGATTCATTCCCTCCGTGGGCCATAGTTATTGTGGTCTTGGTGGCTGTGATTCTCCTCCTGATGTTCCTTGGCCTGATCCTCTTGGTAAGGAACAGGGATGCTCTAGGGGAATGAACCCATGGGACAGGATTGAGTAGAAGTTATAGATCAGAACTAGAGGAACAATGAGTCTAGGACAGGAGGCATGGTGGTGGGGGAGATGGCAGCAGGGAGCAGTGGTGGTGAAAATGAAAGGGAAAGACAACAGATGCATGAAAAGTAGAACTGGAGGAAAGGCTGTGGCTGAGGAAATGGGTGTAGAGGAGGGAAAATTTGGGGGTTGGAGATCGAGTCTGGGATGTGAGACTAGGGGATATGAGGACAATGAAAATAAGACAGAGGAAGGAATTGGAGGTGAGGCCTGGGTTCTGTATTGAATCTGAGGCTGTAATAAGGATCCAGTTTGGATGGAACCTTTGGAAAGGAGCAAGCCTAAGATCTGGATCAGGGAGAATAGAGCCAAAGGTTCTGAGATAGGGGTGTTGAGGAAGCAAATGACATGGCAGATGGTATTCATTCCTTCTTTCTCCTCCTAATCACAGGTCTCCTATATGACACGAACACGTCATGCACTGATCCACAACACTGAGGACAATGACCCAGAGGATGATGGGGGCCCCAATTCTTACCCAGTCTACCTGATGGAGCAGCAGACCCTCGGTGTGGGCCAGATCCCTTCCTCACGATGATCTTTCAGAAAGTGCCCACCCCCAGCTCTTCCATGCCCTACCTCTTTCCTGGATGAGGAATTTGACCTACAATTCCCATTTCCTGGACTCCAGGAAGGGCAAAGTACTGACAGTTAACAGCATCAGCCCTTTGTCTGCTGTGTTCTTATTGAAACTGGTCAAGGAATGAGGTGATAAGAAGGATATGAATTGGGGGGATAGAAAAGAAGGAATGCATAACACAAGCAAGTTTTCTCTGTAGAAGATGATGGTCGGAGAATGAAAAGATGTTTGGTGGACACAGGGTGGGGACCACTACAGGACCAACTCAGTCCTGAGAGGGGCAGCACAGCTAATGGAAGTTTGGGAGCCTTAGAAGGCAATGCCCAGATCTGACTTGTGAGGTGGGGTTATGGGAAGAGGGAGACTGAGATAGAGGCCCCGGGTTTCAGGAGCAATCTATAATATTTCCATCTGCTGTTACTTGGAGTGCGTATAAACAGGCTTATCTCTGAGTTCCCAGGGGCCTTACCCTTACTTTTTTTTTTTTTAAATAAAAAAAGTAGGATCTGGAAGGAAAAGAGGATTTTATTTCCTTCTCCACTTTCTCAATTCTTGGTAGAAAGGAAAATTCCAGAAAAGATCATAAACATCTCTCACTCAGATGGTTCTTCCCTCTCTCTCCTGAGCCCCTTAGTTTTTCTAAATATTCTACTGTGGGCATCTTGTAGGTTTGGTTCCTGGGTTGTGGGTGGGCACACAGGGAGAGATTTTGTTTGACTGCAGTCTCATCCATTGATAGCCATCCTAGAACTTCCCTAATGGTATTCTCCATTCAACATTTATTTTCCTGTCTCTTCCAACAAAAGCCAGTCCTGATTTTACCCTATGAGTCACCGTCTTCTCTACTGCCCTTGTCCTCTCTCCTCACACCTTCACCTTAGATTTTGATTTTCCCTCTTGTGAGCATTTCATCTATGTATGTTTCCTGGATTTTCTCTCCAATTTAATAAAGCTCTTTCACATATTACTGATTGAGCAGAGAGGGAAAGGGAAAATTGACAGGTAACTTCCTTTTAGCTATTGTTTTTTTTATAATAAAGTGTAAAGTATTTACAAAGTAAGGACTTCATAGTTATTGGATTAAGCGTTGGGAGCAAGTCCTGATGTTCCTGGCTCTGGCTGTGACCTTCCAAATGACCTTGAGCAGGAGTGGCTAGAGGACAGGACTGAAATCTTTGGAGGGTGGAGCAAGAGGAGGCTGACTTTCTATTGCTCCTAAAATGGCTCACTTCTGGATTTAGATAAGAACAAGCCTGAGTTTATGCTGAGCTCAAATTGCACAGTGACAAAATGAGAAAATTTGTTATTTAATAAACAAGTATTTCTAAGCCCCTATTATATTCTGTTGAGGATTATAAAGAACTTTAAGACATAGTTCCCACCTGAGACACAAATACAGGAGAATTAAAATTAAATAATTCAGTAAGAATTATCACAAGGCAGTCTGATACAGAATAAGAATCTAATGAATGAAACACAATATTTATGGGCCTCTACCATGTCCCATATATACATACGTTAGCCCTGCTCTGAACCCATTCTGTGCCCTACAGAACCACTGCCTGTCACCTGTGGACCTTGGCCTCACTTTCTCCAGAGCATTTTGGCTGATCAGAAAGGCACTTTGGTTTCCATAGGCCTCCCACCCTTAACTCCACCCAGAACCAAATAACGGGGCCATGGGTTGCTATTGCTACTTTTGGCATTTCCATTTGCAGAACCCTGGCATCCTAAGGTCAGTGATCCTAATCTGGACACTCATGTCACTGAATATTCTGCCAGAGCCCAGCTCTGGGCTGGGAGGGCTTCAGAATCTCTTGATAATCTCTCTGAATCTCCCACCAGAGACCTGCTCTGCTAAGGGCAGGATTGTAGCTCGGATCCCAGAAAGGAGGCAAGCCATGTGCCAGAGGGACCTCAGACTTAGGTCCCTGGAGAAAGCCTTGAGGCAGAGAGGGACACCTGGGTTCTGAAAGAGGGCTAGGGTACCTGAGGAAAAAAAGGAGCAGGATACCTGGTGTTTAGTCATCTGGCCAGATGGTGACTTAGCTAGCATGTGGCAGCTGCCAGGACAGGAGTGTCGCTCGTCCTGGGAGGAGAGCAGATGCCCCCTAACACCAGCCTCTAACCACTGAATTTCCCCAGCCTGGACACTAACTTAAAGAACCAAAACAAAATAAAGCAAAAACACCTCTGCCCCTAGATTGCCAAACATTCAAATGACCGAATCCACCCTGCCAAGGCGCCAAAATGCGGCGGGGGTGGGGGTGGCAGCCGTCAAATGGAGCACTTGGGGAGAGGGGAGGCAAATGGACTATGGGCCCTAGGGCAGGCAGGTGATTGTCCCTTCCCATTTCTCTCCCTTCTCTCTTCCCTGCTAATGATCACTTCGAAATCTAAAGGGAAGCCCTTTAACAAGCTCCAAGGGCTCTCATTAGGGAAAGTCACTTCATGAGTGGCTCTCTCATAAAACACTTATTGCTTCCCCCCACCCCACCCCCGCCCATTCCCCGGGAGAGAGCATCTCTTGGGAAGCAAGTGCCCATGATCCCTAGGGCTGGAGTGGGTGCGAGGGGCCAGAGCAGAAGGGCGAGCCCAGCAGGGCGTCTGGGATGTGGGGTGGAGGATAGGGAGCAGCGGGGGCTACGGGTTCCCGGAGTCCTCTCTCCTTCCCTCGAGGCTCCATTGGCCGGATCTCGCTCGCACCCTGGCGTCCGCTCCGATAGGGCTGGATGGGGGCAGCCGCTGCCAGCGTGCCTCCCGACACGCGCGTGCGGTTGGGGCCCCAAGCACGCCAGCGGATCTTGCAGATTCCCCGTCCGCCGAACGCCCCTCCTGGGCTCAGCCTCAGGCCGGATTCCATCCACCAGGCCGATTTCTACCGGGATGCAGGACCGGGCTCCAGCACCAAGTGCCAGACTGCCAGGCCCGGCTTGGCTTCCACCGCACCCCATGGGTAAGTAGACAGGCCAGCGTTTGTGCAGTGCTTTCTCTCACACACATCCTTCCATCCCCTAGTAACCCTGTGAATTCTTTCCTCGGCTTGTTTCACACACAAGAAAACCCAGGCTCGGAGAAGTGCCTTGTTTGAGTCCACATGGCTCCAGTGCAACAAAGTTAATTTTCTCCCAACCTCGTTTCCACGTTGTTCCTTAGTGGCGCCAGGTTCCATGTACTGGTGGTAGCATGGCCTGAATGGGTGGGATGCTACAGGGACAACCTAAGGAACAAAGTGTAACTGAGGTTCGTGCCAGAGTATGTCCAGCTCCTTCTTCCAGAGTCAGGTCTCCCCTTTCAGCCCCTCGGATTTGGGCTCACAGAGGGGTTGTTCTTCTGGACAGTCAGTACCTCGGGTCAGATCTTTCCTGCCATCCAGCCCGCTGTCACCTTCAGAGACCCATGAACTGGCCTCCTAGTGGCAGGTTCTCCATCCTCTCCTCACAGCCAGCGCACAGTGCCCCCCTGCAACTGACTGTGTCGGCACTCACAGTCCACCTGGGCAGTGAGTTGCTGGCACAATAAAGATAAGATCCAATGCTCTGGGACCCCCTCACCTTCCTTTTTCTCCCCTCTGTCTCCTACAAAGGCCTCTGTCTCAGAAATGAGACATCCCCAGAGAAAACAGGGTTTCGTTTGCTTGTTTGCTTTTTGCTGACCGCTGGCTCCCGAGTGGGCCTCCTCTCCTTTGACAGGTTTGGTCCCCTTGTTTTCTCTCCCTCCTTGCTCGCCCATCCCCTAGATTGTCAGAGATGCCCCTCCCTGAAGAGAGAGGGCCTAGACATTATGGCCTCCCCTGCCCAGTAGCAACTATAAATGCCACAGTAATGGCCAAGTGAGACAAGAAAGTAAGCCAGAAATACTGTGGGAGCAACTCTTGGAACCCAGGAGTCCAGCTCTCCCAGTCCCCAGCTCCCTACTTTCAGGGAACTTACCCTGACTGATCTTACACCTCCCACAACCGTGGCCCTGGCAAGCTTTTAATTCTTCCTGAAACTTCATGTCCCATCGAGATGCCAGGCACCAAGTCTCCCTCTGCAGCCCATCTCTGCTCTAGAATCCAGGCATGCTAGATAACAACTTCCCACGTGGATTATTTCAAGATGAGCAGAGGGAAATTATCTCCTGCCTCCTGTCTCCTGGTGCTGCTTCTTTTTGGAATCTTGGACTTGGTAAGAGTATTATTGATCAACCACAGAGGACATGGAGGCCATAAAAAGTCAGGAGACAAGAGTCCCTGTCCCAGGTAATCTGCTTGCATAGTCTCATTCTTTCTCTGGAAGCAAAGATGATGGACTTCTTGTTGCCCATTTCCGTGCAAGTCAGTACTGGTTGTAGCCCCCGTGATTCTGACCCCCACCTTTACCTTGCCGCAAATCCACCTTTATCCTCTCCCTCTAATCCTCAGTTCTAAGCATGAACACAAATAGTGTCTGTGTTTTGATTTCTCTTAGAATCCTGGAGTGTAAAAGCTGCTTGATAAATGTTTTGTATCTAACCTGAAAATCCTAGTTTCAGTCTCATCCTTATTCCTGATTAGAACTAGGCTCTGAGTCTAAATAAAGACAAGTCAAATGAAAATGTCTCTTCCAGAAATGCCGTCTAAATTTAAATCCTTGATCAGCTCTCATAATCCCCAGGTAGAGACACACAAGGAGGGACCACAGAGAGCCCAGGGCTCTGGAACCTGTGAGTGAAATTAGCCTGAGGAGAAGGAAAACCGGAGTTCCTGTCTTCCTAGCCATTTTACCTGACTTCTCTCAGAGACTCCTGCACAATCTTAAGTTTCTCTTCTTAATTATTAAAACCCAATGTCTTTATTTTTGTATTGTGAAATAAACATTTTAAAATTAGTTTCAGCTGTACAACACAGTGCAATAGTTATACTTTTTACCCCTCAAAGTGACAACCCCTCTCCCCCAATCCGCCGCCCCATTTCCCCCCATATGATACATATCTATTACAATTCCCTTAACTCCACTCACACACTATACTCCACGTCCTGTGACTATATATATATTCACTTATAGTTGACATACAATATTATACAACATCAGCTTCAGGCATACAGTGCAGTGATCAAGCCTCTACCCCATCTATGAAGTGGTCTCCCTAACAAGACATGAGACCATCTGACACCCTACAAAATATTTACAACAAAATATTTACAATATATATTCCCCAAACTGTCTTTTATATCCCTGTGGCAATATTGTAGTTACCTATTCATGCTGTCTAATCCCTTCCCCTTCTCCCTCATTCCCACCCCCTTGCCCCCACAACTAGCAACCAAAAAAACCCAAACCCAATGTCAACAGCTTATAAAGCCCCTTCATTTCCACTGTAGGATGGCATGCCTCAAAAGGGAGTGGGAGCGTAGGTGTGGAATCGACAGAAACAGGCCTAGGTTGAACGAACAGAAGGCCTTTTTGTGGTGTTTTCTATTTCCTTTGATG